TGGAGTTGTACACCATACAGTGTGGGGGTGTGGAGACACAGACAAGACTCTTCCAGTGTGTGTGTGTGTGTGTGTGTGTGTGTGTGTGTGTGTGTGCATGTGTGTGTGGGTGCATGTGTGTGTGTGTGTGTGTGTGTGTGTGTGTGTGTTGGGGCTAGTTGCTTACCTGCTAGGAGCACTGCCAGCAGATATGGTTCAGTTGCCCATTCAGGGACATGCCAGCTATGCAGAGCTCTCCTGCTCAGCATCATGCTGTTCTGGGCAAATCAGTGATAGATGCCATCATAGAAACCCAGCCCTCTCAATCTACCTTGACACTCTGACAGGCCATTTTAACTCTGAAGCTGCCTTGGGGTTGGGAGTGGGATAGACCAAGACTCTCACAGGGCCTCTACCATGGCTCAACTCCTCCCTCTGCCTACTCTTCCTTTCTTGACCGTGCCTATGGGCATCGATCTCCAGGTTGCTCCTTAGTACCCAAAACTTACCTCAGAATGGCTTCCTGGGAAACAACCTGTGGCAGCTGAGCTTGAGGACGATGGGGCAGCTGGCCTTGCCAGAGGATCCGGGAGTGTACAGCCACCAGCAGAGGAGACCCCTTCTGCTGCTGTGTAGCAACTTCTGGTTAGGACTGGGGAAGAGTGTCTCTTTCACTAGAAGTGACAGGTGGTTTTCTGCCCAGGCAGTTACTTCCAGAGTTTCTCTCTTTGGCACGTGTACCAGAGAAGTGTACCCATGTGACAGAAGATAGAACCCTGGTCAGATGCTCCATGGGGACTATACTACGAATGTAGCTTCTCTCAGTGAGACGAGCCAAGAAATTCATCATGCTTCTTCAGTATTTCTGTCCCATGTCCTCGAAGGGAAAGGAAGCTATGCTTAGAGACTGGTCTAGGAAGATGCTGTCTTCACCCAGTGACTAGGACAGCAGGCGTGAGCCCCATTTGAGAAGCTCAGTCTGGAGAGAAAGGCCAAAGCCAAGGCCCAGAGTCAGATCTAACTGGGTTCTAACTGCAACGGACCAGCCCAGACCGGGGCAGTTCAGTCCGATGGGAACAGGGTCATCGAGAGGGTGGACAAGGAGTCGGCGAGTGACAAACAGACGCAAAAGGAGCTTGATGAAAGTCTGAGTGTAATTTTTGCAGTTGCAAGGTTTGAAATATATACAGCAAATATTACAAAAAACAGCGGAACAGTCATGCTAAGATTCACAGTTCCAGAGGTGAAAGTAAAACATAATTTTGCCAACATATCTCTCTATCTCATCAACCTGACACTAGACAGTAAACTCCTGTTTCTCTGTGTCTTTTCACTGTCAGCCTTTCTCACACACTTAAGATCCTGCTCGGCTTTGTAGTCCCAAGTCAGGGTGGCCTTGGTTCATTAAGCACCCCATCAGGCACTTCCAACACCAGTGGTGCCAGGTTGTTACTTCTTTAACGATCTGGTAACATTCCTTGCTTGTTTGTAGTGGGCCACAGGGCTTCTAAGTTAGTTTAACTCTATAAGTCCCAAAAAGGCTATCTCATGTTAGAAATCCATGAAACCATATTTTTCTCTTATCCTACCAATTTTAAAATACCTTCTATATTTGCTCTTTAATGCTCTCTTATTGATTGTTTATCAAAAGACACCAAGGTGGTCTTGATCTTACCAATTTATCCATGAATTGTAATGAATAAAAGAAACCCTTCTTCTATCTATATTTATCTATCTACATTTTTCTTCTAGAAATCTATTATTCCCTGGACTTTCCAGCATTAACTCTGCCTAGTCACTTCTCACTAAGAGCTTTAGAATTATATTTTTCTGATCCTATTACCTGAGTATTAAGGGTCCAATCCAAGCCCCCAGAGGCCGTTTTATAAGAAATGGCCGTGGAGTAAAAATACAGGGTGTTATTTCTATTACATTCAGTAAAGGAGGTATAACAGGATGAGTGCATAGCTTGAGTGAAGATACAATCATTGGGGCACTCACCATTAGCTGGTGGCACGATAGGCTTGGGCTTAGACACACACTTCCAGCTCTGTTCTTATCACAACCAATTCCAAGAGGCAACCTTCCTTGAAGTTCCAGCCTCAACCCACGGAGGATCTCACGCGGGCTTCATTGGAGATGGCGTGACATCTAACTGTGGCCAGGGTTCGGTCTCTACGGTCAGGATACAGTCACAAGGTTAGACCTCTAGGTGGGGTTGAGATTGTAGTCTAGCCTCAGAGTTCTGGGTAGAGAGTTACTCTAGGGGCAGTGTAACTCCCCTAGAGTACAACTTGGCACAAACCAAGACTCAGTGTGAGGATAAGGGATAGGGTTCCAACTAGCATCAGGGTCATGAACCAGCCCAGGTTTGAGTCATGGCTCAATCCAGTCACTGACACAAGCTGAGACTTCATTCTAGTTTCATTCTGGGGATCCTCAGAGCTTGGCTTTAGTTCAGGTTTGAGCTAGACCCTAGTGTAGCCTGGGATCTGATGTTAGTCCTAGAGCAAACATTTGGGTCAACCTGTTGTTCTGTGGAAGACAGGCCAACTACAGCCTAGAGTTGACTGTAGCCTGCTTTGTAAATAGTTTATCATGTCACATGCTCATCTGTTGGTACACCGTGGATATCAGTTTCAATGCTCTAGAAACAAAGTTGAACAGTTATTACAGAGGCCTCATGTGCAAAGTCAAAGAAAAAATTGTGCTAGCCCTTAATACTTGGCTTACCAATCCCTGTACTAAAGACTTGAGGGGGTGGGGTGGGGGCTCTGGTGTGTGAAAGCCCATATCCCTCACCTGGCTCAATGTCTTCATGAAAGTTTTAAGAGCAAAGTGATCCAGAGAAAATAGAAGGCCTAAGTATCACATAAAGCCTTACTGCCAGCCCTCCAGGCTCCTTCCAGTCTTGAACCTGCCCAGCCCTTCTTCCTCTGTCAAGAGCATTGTTAGGGGTTACTCTGCCTACAATAAGGCAATCCCAGACTGCACATTCTTCCAAAACTGTACTGTCATCCACACTCACTCTCCCACTTCTCCCCTTCGCCAGGGCCCTCGCATTGGCTACTGGGAGGTGCGGGCAGGTGTATCTGCTTTCAGCCAGGGCTGGAATATCCTTGTGATAGGCCAGTTTGGGCCCTCTAAAGTTCCATTTCCGTTCATCTGAGAAGCACCAAAGGAGAGAGAGTTGTATTGGAAACAGCCACTTTTCAGATGATCCTGGTCCCTCCAGATACTTTCACTCCCCAAACACTCTGTCCAGAGCTGCCCATGCCTCACTCCCCAGGCTGTCACAGGGTCCATGGCTGGACTCCTCCATCTGCTTATTCCTGCTTCCTTCACCGGTGCCATGGGTGTTGATCCTAGGTCACTCCTCAGTCAACTGGCATTGCTGGAGAAGCCAGGAGTCTAGAGCCACCATCAGGGGAGATGCTTCTTAGCTACTATGTGGTGCTTCCCACTGGGAGGATCCCTTTCTCTAGGAGTGGTCATGACCTCTTGTTTATCTCAACCCTGAGAAAGTGGCTGCCTGACCTGTACTCCCAGCAGCCCCTCTTATGTGACATCTGCATCAAACCCTTAGGTGTGGAAATGGGATCTTGGAGCCAAGGCAGTAGGAGGGCCTATCTGTTATTTGTTTAGATAGGGTTTCACGCTGCAGCTCATGTTGGCCTGTACTCACTGTGTAGCCCAGATTGGCCTTGAACTCATGGCAATCCTCCTGCTTAGCCTCTTGAGTGACTCTTTAGAAACATCCACTCATCTGACCTCCAAGTCCCATCCCCACATTTGTAGAATTGTCAGGGAAGTGCCTGCAAGGAGGGGCCATAAGAATCATCTAGCATATACTGTGTGTTTACCCCATCTGCTTTTTGCAAAGACCCCCAACATAAATTATTCTCATCTACATCTTTTTAAAAGATTTATTTTAATTATGTGTATCTGTGTGTGAGTATATGTATGCGAGTACAGGTACCCACAGAGGCCAGAGGCATCAGATTCTCTGGAACTGGAGTTTCAGGAGGTTGAAAGCATTCAACATTGGAGCTGTGAACTGAACTTTGGTTCTTGGAAGAGCTGCTGAGCCATTTCTCTAGCCCCATTATTTTCATTTGTATCCAAGAGGCATCTCACTGCAGACATACCTATTTTGTCATTCAGGTTTCTTAAATTATAGCATTAATTTTAATTCCAGAAAATTTCAATAATAAATTTCATAGCCAGTGCAATTCTCTTCATGGTCTGGGGTGTCTGCAACCTGCTTTGACTGCAGGTGTATGATTTGCACAGTACAAGCTGCCCGGTTCCAAAAAAAGAGACACGGAGTGATCTGGAATGATCCAATGAACTCCATGATGGTCAGAACTGGAACGGATCTGTGGCTGCAGAGTTTAGGGGAGACTACCCAGTTTGATGTTCCTACTCTGTCGTCTTCAGCTGCTTTTAGGCAACTGTAGCCTCTCAAATCCAGACGCAGTGAGGGAAATCCACCATTGGTTAAAATCTAACACGTTTTAAGAATATGCCTTTAGGTAACACTTAAGTGAATGCCATGGTTCTCAATTCTGCTTCCACCCCGCCTTAATAGTTTCAGCAAGGCTCCTCCTCTGTAATGGGAGTGTTTGGGCCTGGAGGAGGATTCTTGGGTGTGGATGTGGCCAGGGCATTTGAAGAACTGAAATAAAAGCAAGGAGCTGTGAGCTGACTGGGCTAAGTGGCAGAGCTAATTGGGTCAGGGCTCCCAGGATGTTGGGGCATGCCAGCATCTTAACAGGAAGGGGATGAGGGATGGAGCATCCCTAGGCTCCTACATCATCCTCTTGCCCCAAAGATGAAGGACTGCTGAGCACCTCAATGCACCGATGAGAAAACTAAGCCCAGGAGGAAAGGGCCTTTCCAAAACTCAAGAAGTAGGACAAAGACCAAACCTGGGCCTCCTGGCTCCTACATGGGAGAGACAAGAAGATGGGCAGGAAGGAAAAAATGTCCATATCTTCCCCTCAGTCCCTCATGGCCCATCACTTGGCTGTAGCCACATGGATGATCACAAAGCCCTTGATATCTGGGAATTTGGAGCTGATGAGATCCACTTGCAGTTGCCTTGGGCCACTCTTGGAGGGGGTAATGTTGAACTGGACCAACGCGCTCTCCTGGGGCTGCAGGCTGGGCACACTGGAGACAAGAGCAGGTAAAAGGCAGTCAGTCCTCTCTCCCTGAGTCTAGTCGGACGGCCCCCCAGTACGTTTCCATCTTAACCTTCCCTTCTACAACTTATATTCTTTCCCTCCAGCCAGGTTAGGCTCCTCCCTTGGCCCCGTGCATACCTTGCACGTCCCTCCCTAGCTGTTGTCTCTAGCATTCCTCCTACCTTGGATACCTTTCCTTTTCCCAGCATACCTGGGTCCAGATCCAGATCCTCTTCTTAAGGAGACCTTCCCTTGAAGCACTAGAGACCTCTGCCTGAGAACCCTGCCTTCCTTCTTGATGCCAAAAAAACTCCTCACTTTTATCATTTAAGAACCAGCTCAGATATCAGCGACTTTAGAACTTCTCTCTGACTCCACCCCCACCTTCACTCTTGGACCCGGGATTTATCTGTCCCTGAGAGTTCTTCTCTAGGCAGAACTTCATCTGGCCATCCTTAGCATCCCTAATAATTTTCAGGTGGCGCAGGTTAGTATGACCAAGGACTACATGTATAGAGAATGAATGAGTGCATATATGAATGAGTGGGTAAATTAAAGAATGAATGACTGGATGAATGAACTAGTCAAAACTGAACTAAATAAATGAATGGATAACTAAATGAGTGAAAATGTGAATAAAAGAGTGGATAATGAATGAGTAAAAGACAGCAAGTGAATGGAGATCAAATGGGTACAAGTGAAACGTGAAGTTTTCATGAGTGGTATGCGTGAATGAGGAGATGAGTTAGGCCAGTAAAGTCGTATTTAGTGGATGAAGGCTGATGTTATGGAGATCTTGTTCCTAGAGGCCCACAATCTCTTGTTTCCTCCTCAGTTAGCTTATTCTAGACCCATCTCATGAGGAAGGCAGCCCTCGTCCTTGTCAGCCCCGAGCCGTGACTTACTCAATGCTGAGTTGTCCTTGGAGAAGGCCACTGCCCTCTACCATCAGCACACAGTCCTTCACGCTCTCCAGGAGGGGGTTGACCACTGATACTTCCACTGCAACTGCCACTCCCACTACAGCTGGGCCCAGCACCTGGAGAGGCAGCACCCATGAGCCACCACTTGTCTGCCTCATCCCACCGGGAAGCCCTTAGTTCTGGCTGTGTCTGAGAATGTCTCCTGCCTCCACATGCCCTGTTAGAATGCCATGGTCTGCCCCACCCTTGAGAGATGAACCTGGGGCCCAAAGCTGGGACCCCAGTTTCACATGCCCTCCGTTAGCTATGCTAGGAACAGGGTGGTGGATGTGGTCAGGAGTCACCTTGATGGTGATGAAGTCTTCTAGAGTAATGTCCTTTTCTACCAGGAGCTTCTCTCCTTTACTGACAAGGCACATGGCAGCCAACAGGATCTTCTTGTCCTCTGTCAGGTCTTCTTTGTACTGAGAGTAAGATATTGTGACTGGGATCTTCTTCTCTGGAAGAAAGAGCATGGAAGAGAGTTAAACCCAAGGCTCAAGGAGAGTATTTTCTTTTTTTCCTTCTTCTTTTCTTTCTTTTTTTTTTTTCGGTCTTTTTGAAACAGGGTCTCCCTGTAGCCCCAGCTGACCTAGAACTTACTATGTAGACAAGGCTGGCCTTGAACTCACAGAGATCCGCCTGTCTCTGCCTCCCAAGTGCTGGGACTACACGTGTGTGCCACTATGCCGGGCACACAGCATGTATACCAAAAAGCTGAAATACAGTGGGATTCAAATTTAGCCCAGTAAGGTGCCGTGATACCAGATTGTCTCTTCAGGAGTATCCAGAAATCTGCCAGAACTCCTCATAATTATTCAAGATGGAAATATCACCAGGGACTTTTACTGTTTATTGAGCACTTATTATGTGCCAGCTCCAGAGAAGACAGTTCAAAAGATGGTCTCAAGCTTCCAAGCTCATGAGGACAACTTCCTAGCAATGTCTCCAAACCCCCTTCACCATGAAGGGCCGGCTTTACTCATTCTCACCAGCTGTTGGCAGGCTTCACGGGCACGCCTTCCCAGTACTCTCATACTTGAGTTTTCATCATGGTCCGGGTCTTTGCCTCCCTCTCACCAGCCACACACACCTTTCCTCAGCATTCTGTTGTGTAGCTTACCACAAGCCAAAGCTAACCGTCAGCGTGTGTGTGTGCGTGTGTGTGAAATATATATGTGCGTGTGTATGAAATATATATGTGTGTGTGAAATATATGTGTGTGAAATATATATATGTGTGTGTGTGAAATATGTATATGTGTGTGTGAAATATATATGTGTGTGTGTGAAATATGTATATGTGTGTGTGAAATATATGTGTGTGTGAAATATATATATGTGTGTGTGTGAAATATATATATGTGTGTGTGTGAAATATATATATGTGTGTGTGTGTGTATATATTTTTGGGGTGTGTATGCAATGAGTCCTTTCTGCTTTCCTTCCGGCTCTATTATATGCTATTGTTCTGCAACTTTGATTTTCTCCTTTTTTTCTGACCCCTGAAGTATTTGAGTTTTGAACTTAGGGATATCCTTGAAGATCTCTGAATGCTCTCTGCTCACCCAGGGCGTTGGACATAGTAGCTGCTCTTGCATTCCAGGAGGTTGGTCTGTGTATTAGACACTATGATGTACATTATATTGGTAAACTGTCATGTGCTGTTTGAGCTCACTAAGAAGCTGGCTGTGGACGTGGGCTAACCCCCCCACCTCTGCCGTTTCAGTCATTTCAGACTTAAACATGTTTGTCTTAAAGTGTCCTCCAAGGTTTGAGGATGGACTGCCCCTCTCCCCCCATCTCTGTGACCGGGAGAGATGAGAACAACAAAACAGCCCAAGTGTAGAAACATCTTCTGAGACCAGCTAGAAGGTAAGTATTCCAGCAGAGGTTACTGTTGTTTATCCCGTGGTATGAAAGTGCCTGCAGCAGGAAAGAGAAGCTGGAAGTCGGCCATTGGAAGGTCAGCCATGGAGAGAGCTCAATCAAGAACTCCAGCTGACTGCTTCAACCTCCCCACTGGGTTTCTGCTGGATGTTGTGAGCACCTGATTTGATGATGTCATCTCTGTTGTGATTTGTTCTTTTACTTGGAAGCCTCACTCAAGGGGACACTGCTATGCCTGGAACTCTTTCTATTGGGAACTCCATTTGGCTGCCTCAATGGGCGTCTCTCAGTCAACTTCTGCTGGATGACTTGACCCATCTCCCTCTCATTTAAAAATCTCATTCAAAAAAGAAAATATATTGTAGATCATTCTCCAGACTGTAAAAAACAGATATTGCTTTGTTTTCTGGGCTCCTATAGTCCATTGGGTTATTATTAAAACCTTGTTACAAGAACAATAATAATTATTAAAAAAAACTTTATTTAAGATTAAAATGTGCTAAGCACCTGGAAGCACTTTCATGGATAAAATAATTTAATCCTCACAGAAGTTCATGAACAGATATTATAACTATTATTCCCAACTTACAGAAATATGAAAATACAAGTACCATCAAGACTATATGTTCATTAAAGAGTAGGGATTATGTCAATTACTTTTTATACATTATATCATTTACTTCTTTCATGGTCATAAACAATTGCTCTCAAGAATGGTTCTGGGACCTGCAACATCAGAATCAACTGGAAACTTATCAGAATGCAAATTTCTGTGATCCAGCTTGAAGAATCAACATATGCTACCAGTGATGCACTTGGGTGGAGCACTGGTACATCTCAGAACCTGGGGTAAAGGTCCCTCTACAGTGTGCAGACCTCTGAATCATGAACTCCATTCATAGTTTGAGAAAAACTGAGATTCTTTTCCCCAAACAAGAATTTTTCATAGCACCTCAGTTAAATGGAAAAAATAGACATCTTTTGAGCAAAACACTTGAGGAGAAATCTTCAAGCTCACATGGAGCATTCACCAAGACAGAGGATATTCTGTACCATAAATAAATAACATTAAGAAATTTAAAAGAACAGAAGGGGGCAGGAGGTGAGAGATGACTCAGCGGTTAAGAGCACTGGCTACTCTTGCAGAGGACCCAGGTTCCCATCCCAGCACCCACGTGGCAGCTAACAACTGCCCATTTTCAGTTCCAGGGGATCCGATGCCCTCTTCTGACCTTCATGGACATTGCATGACATGGGTACAGTTATATATATGCAGGCAATACACTAATATACATAAAATAAAAATAATAAATAAAATATTAAAATATAAAGGGGGCAGGAGAGATGGCTCAGTAGTTAAGCCCACTGGCTGCTCTTGCAGAGGACTAGAGTGCTGGGAACAGCACCATATGGTGGCTCAAACAGTCCTTAAATCCAGTTCCAGAGGCTCTGACGCCCTCTTCTGGACTCCACAGGCATTGCACAACAGGCAATACACTCAATACACGTAAAATAAAAATAAAAAGCATAGAAAGAGCTCAGTGTATTCTCTCAGACCACAGAAAATAATATCAGAAAGAAAACTTGATAATCCAAAGTGCTTGGAGATAAAGAATACACTAGGGTTTTTATTTGAGATAAATCTTGCTGCTTAACTCAGTCTGGCCTTGAACTCAACCACAGCCTCTTGAGAACTAAAATGATATGCATGTACCGCCACGCCTCCCGCTTAAACTTCTAGAAGAAATGCATCCAAAAGAAGAAATGTCAAGACAAGCCTAAAATATTTGAAGAAAATGAATATTGCACCTGGTGAGGTGACAAAATCTCCTGCTTAGGAGATTTTTATTATTCAGTATATGTAGTGAAAAATGACAGATTTAAAATGAATAGTCTACTTTACAACACTAAAAAAATTAAAGCCAATATAACCAAAAGAAAGGAATGCTAAGAGCTAGGGGTGGCTGAAGGAGGGTGACCACAAGTTCAAGGCCTGCCTAGGCTATAGAGTGAGTCAAGACCAGCCTGAGCAACTTAGAAAAAGAAGGCGAGGGATGAAGCTCAGGGGTGGAGTGCTTTCAGAGAATGAGTGAGCCCTAAGTTTAACCTCGGTACTGCAACAACGAACAACTGGGAAAAGAAGAAAAGAAAAAGATACAAATTAGGGTAGAAACTCATGAAATTTAAAGCCAAAAAAAAATCAGTATTGAAAAGTCAATCAAACGTAAAGCAGTTCCTTTAGGGAAAAACAATAAGAGTAACCAGCCTCTAGCCAAGCTAAGTATAAGTAGAAATAGTCCGAATGGGTCTACATTTGGTAAGTAAACTGTGATCAGTCATTAATATCCTTCCCAAACAGAAAGCCTCAAACTCTGATGGGTTCACTGGTTAAGTCTACCAAATATTTAAGGAAGAGATTGTGGCAAATCATGACAGTTTCTGGAGGAAAATGGAAGGAAAGGAATCTATGCTTCCAGCTCATTCTATGGGGCCAACGTTACCCTCAAACCAAAACCATGCAAAGATATTACATAAAAAGAAAACTACAGATAAATTTCTCTAGTGAACATAGATGCAAAAATCCTTAACAAGATATTAACTGATTGAATCCATCAATGAATAAAAATATTGTATAGCTTGGTCAAATTCTGGGCATGCAAAGCTGGTTCAACATTTGAAAGTCTATTAATGTATCCATTAAAAATCAAAGAAGAGAAATCACACAATTGTAATAACAGATGTAGTGAAAGAACTTGACAAAAATCTAATACTCATCCATGATAAAAACCTCTCAGCAGACTAGGAATAGAGAGGCACTATCTTAACTTGATGAAGAATATCTACAAAAAGCCCTATAGCAGACATTAAACTTTAAAAATATTTATTATTATTACTGTTTCAATTATGTGTGTGTATGTGTGTGTGTATGTGTACACAAATGCAGGTGCCTGCAGAGGCTAGAGGTTTCAGATCCTCCTGAAGTTGGAGTTACAGGCAGTTGTGAGGCACCTGACACAGGTGCTGACAGCCACACTTGTGTACTTTACAAGAGTAGCATGCGCTCTTAACTGCTGAGCCAGCTCCAGCCCCTTTAACATTCAATTTAATAGTGAGAGACTAGGAGGCTTCTGCAAGATCAGGAACATGGTGTGTCCTCGCATCACTCCTGTAATAAAATATAATGTGCTTGCTTAGTTCAAGAACATTGACTCTGGGAGTGAGGAAGCCCTTCCTTGCCACAGACTCTAACGTGTTTATGCCAACTGTCTTCCAAATCACCCTTGTCTAGGCCAGGCAGACCTTCCTGCTCTGCAACAGGGAGAGGGAAGAATGACAAAAGAGCCAGAGTGAAAACATCCCGTCCTGGAGAACAGATAGCGTGAGAACCATTACAGAGGTCAGTATTGCTCTGTCTCCTGGTATAAAGGTTCCTGAGTGGCAATGGGAAGCTGGAAGCTCATCTATGGAGAGAAAGTTCAACCAGGAACTCCAGTTGACTGCCTCAGCTTCCCTAGTCCTGCTGGATGTTTGTAAACTCCTGATTGATGATGTCACCTTTGCCCTCTCAGGC